ATATATATATATATATATTTGAGAAGGGAAAGGCTTCTTTGGGAATCTTTAATGTGTGAATTTTAGAGGATTATTTCACAGCAGGTCGCCAGACCGTGGGATTTGTACCGGAACGTAGTTCGACGACGAGCTGGGTAACCATCCTCGCTAATTCACGCATTAAGATTCAAGATTCCCAAAGAAGCCTTTTTCTCTTCTCAATTTAATATCTTGGAATGCCCGTACTTTAACACATTTATATATATATAAATACATATTTATATATTTATATATAGAGTCCACAAGCTGGGGATATTACTTTTTGTTTCTCGTTTCTGCGCCAAGCACACATTTAAAACGTACATTTCGTTTTCACCGCCAATCCCCACTTAAACACTCAAGATGCCAATGTTGGCGAACGTACAGTATGTCGAGTGCTGCAAGCAACATTCCGAAAGTTGAAAAAGACCGATCAACAATTGCAAGGCAACATTAAGTGTGGTTGCAAGATTGTTTATCTTGCAGTCCAATTTCAATTATTTTTCAGTCACCCTAGAATGCCGATCATGTGATGAGTTTCTTTCTGACCACTGCGAAAAAGTTGATTCTGCAAAAAATGGCTATATAAATAGTATGCATTTTTATCATTAATTTTGACTGCCTTTATAAATTCAAGTATATTTAATGGAAAGCATGTGCTAAAAATTCTATCTTGTACTATTTTCAAGGTTTTGCTTCGGTTTTTAAAAAAATTCTAAATTGCCGAATGATTTTGAAACCTACCGACCGCTAGAATTGAATTTTACAAACTAAATGCTGTGTTCATCCTTTTGAAGGAAAAGGACGTTCTTGCCTTCGGTTTGAAAAAGTGGTTGCATAGCTCTCATGGAATTACGCAATAAACATGGATCATGCTGTATATATCAGGGGCAGCGTTAATAAAGTCATGGATACGATGTATTATGAATGAACACCGCACAGTCGTAAAAAGACCCGAAATTAGAAATTTTTTAAACCAAAGGAAACTCTTCTATTAAGAATATAATTTATAGAAAGCGTAATTTCCTATAAAATAAGTACAAGAGAGGATTCATGCATGCGTGCATTTAATGAAATGTACTTGAATTTCTAAAGGCAGTCAAAATCAATTATCAAAATTTAAGTAGCCATTTTTAACAGAATCACTTTTTCTGCAGCGGTCAGAAAGAAGCTCATGACGGAGTCGGCATCCTAGCGTGACTGAAAATAATTAAAATCGGACTGCATGATAAATAATCTTACAATCATACTCAATGTTGGTTTGCGATTGCTTACCGGTATTTTTTTCAAATTTCGGAATGTTGCTTGCAACACCCGCCATACTGTACGTCTTCGCGAATTCATCATCAGACAAGAACAATAACATAAGGACGGTTTTGGACACAAAAGTAAGGTGTAGGGTTATTCAGGTATCACAATATCACCGGTTAGTCATGTCAAAGGGCCACAGAGAGGATGAGGGAACGGTGAAGAGGTACAAATATTTAATATCGCCGCGTCGTCGCCGTCAGAAGCGTGAGAACGCATACTGTCGTTGCCTCGCACCGCGAAGAAGGCGAAACGATGCATTTTGTCAATGTTTTATCGCTGTCTCGCGATGTGATAAGAGGCGTAAGGACGCATTTAGAGATGGTCTATGGTCAAGGGCACCTTAGCGTCCTTATAAACACGCACAAAGATTCGGGTCAATTTTCCGTATGGCGACCTCTTATCTGACCTTGTAACCTCTGAACACCTCTTGCCCTTACTTACAGTTGATTAAATGCTTAGCCGTTTTCTACTCTACCGTCTCTTATATTATTTTAGACGCCTGATTATGAGTAATCGAACACGCGCATTTTTATTGTTTTATTTTATTACTATTATATATTTTTCTTTCCTTGTAGAGTCATCGACATACATGTTCTGTTGTTGTCTATTAATTGGCATATTCCAGAACGAAAAGTAATTCCCTTTTTCCAATGTTATCATGTTAGCTGGTTTTCATGCTGGACTGCTTATGCTTGGAAGATAGTATTGCCGGTAACGACAATGGAGCTTGAAATGGCCATGTCCGGCAGTTATACCGGCAATAATATCTGCAGAGACTACTAGCTGCTACGGCTGCTTTTAAGTTTTAAACTTCAGGCATCGGCTGATTACCAGCTAGATTCGTTATCCAGCATGAACTTAGTGTTGAAGTTACTGAAGCCGCAAATAATGCAGTTTAGTTAACTACACTGTTTTTGGGTATAAAAACCTTGGCAGCCTTTACAAGATGGACAGCAGCCTTATTGAGACATGAGCTGCAAAATCCGAGTAGTATCTTGAGCCCTCTCTTTTAACTTTTGGATATCATTCATTAACGCTTAGATATTGGTGGGAGTCAAACCCACGCAGCAGAGAAGGCTTTAGCGCGGCCAACGCTCCACCGGTTGAGCTACGACGCACGCCATGCGCCGTAAATTTAATCAAACTTTGATCAATTTTACCCACCCAAATTATCGTTCGTATGATATCCACAATTACGGATAAGCAAGTTGACTGTCCCTGCAGGATTTCCTCAGCAATCATCTAGAAGGCAGCGGAATGAATACTACGCTAACCTAATTTTTAGGGAATTTTGGCAGATTTGCTTAATTTAGTCGACCTTATTATGCAAAAACTCGCAGCGTCGGCGGAAGTCCAACCCGCACAGCAAGGACGGCCTTAGCGCAGCCAACGCTCTATCGATTGAGCTACGAAGCACGCCATTCGCCGTGAATATATTCACGCTCGGATCGATTATACCCGCCCAACGCACATGGCGGGCGTCGTAGCTCAATCGGTAGAGCGTTGGCTGCGCTAAGGCCGTCCCTGCTGTGCGGGTTGGACTTCCGCCGACGCTGCGAGTTTTTTCATAATTGGGTCGACTAACGTAAGCAAATCTGCCAAAACCCCTAACACTTAAGTATTGTCTATTAGGAATTGAAAACGTCATCTTAGGTTCGTCAAAGCGTCTGATATTTGGGTCCATAATTCTGAACTCTTGTCTTATTGTTGCGTTTCTGTATGAAAGAAACGTCGTAACAGTAATTTTTATTCAGGAACATGTGCAACATTTGGCTATATTAACGTCGTTTTTCAATTTTATTTCAGCCACTATGCAACTCCATCAATTATGGTAAGTATTCCTTCAGTACGTAGATTAGTAAGCTGCCAGCCTATTGGCAGTACAACTTTCATAGTAGCATTGTAAGACGGGAAAGCAGGTAGATTGTAGCTAAAAAGATTTATGGATACTCCGCAGATGTATTAAGTTCAGGCAGTGAGCAGCAAGTTATTTGAAAATATAACATGTAAGATTAATTTCCCTTCTAAAATCCGTCTTTGACGAATAGTTTCCTAATTTGAAGCATAATGTTCCCGGTGAGAACTTGAAGATAGTAATTAATGCAAAATTTAATGGAACCTTAAATTTCATGAGAGCACTTCAGTTGCATCCACTCATTGCGTTGAAGGATCACGAATGAGAAAAGTACGAAATTGATTTTGTGCAGAAAGGTCATAGGTCCTAGTCACATACAGAAGGAAAGGTAAAACAAAGTGGAAGGGGAAACAGGGAAAATGAGTTGCGGGGAAAATGGGGCAGAGGAATGTGCAAATCTGGGGGCCTGTAGTTACCAAGGAAAGGCTAGGTTAACCACATGCTCCAACTGTTTGCATAGGTCCAGTTTAGAGCGTCTAATATAAGCTGCCTCCAGGTAGCGCAATACCGGCAATACAAGGAGATTCTGGCCCAATGGTTAGGTCCTTAGACTCTGATCCCAAAAAGGTCACGAGCTTGAGGCTCGGGTGGTGCACTATTTGAGTCTGGGTATGACTGGCTGACGACGGCTAACAGGCCAGACATGGCCATTCCAGTCTTCATTGTCTGCCGACAATATTTCTGTCTATACTAATCGTTGCCGTCAGGGCCCCAGAAATGAGGCTCAAGGCACAGGCGGAGTGGAACAAGTGAGTTCGTTGTTGGAAGTCTGCACAGCTATGTGCCTATACTGATTTTCTCGTGATGCAAAGTCATTTTTTAAACTGTCAAATCCCTGATCTGCCTGCTAACGGACCAGGCAGTGTTCAAGGTTTCCCCACAATCATCAATTTGACGACCAGTTGCTCTAAGATACGATATACTTTCCACAGAATTGAATTTGCGCATTAAGTTCACAAGGCCGGACGTAGATTGTTAATTCCAGGCATCCAGTTTTGCACGTTTTTGAAATGCAAAGATATGTTTGCAAGAGTAAGGTTAAAGGTGTCCACTTGTGCAGTTGGCAGACTCAATGTAAGCATGGAGCCGCAATTATTCGATCGGCTTGCGCTGAAGTGGGGAGAGCCGTTAGGGAGAACGCTGTGGACTGATGTAGACAACTTCACGGACGTCGCATACAAGTTGGAGTACCTCGCCAGCGATGAAAGTCAGCCCGCCCGAGTTGTTTGGACGCCAGTTAACTGCCATCAACCAGAAGCCGTCGCGATCATTATTCCCTTCCGAAACCGATTTGTTAATCTATCTGTCTTCGCCAACCATATGCATCCTTTTCTGCGACATCAACATCGACGATATACGATTTACGTGATTGACCAGGTAGGTTGACCCTTGCTCTGTAAAATACCCACGCCGAGAGCTCATCTAAGTATCCAATCAAGTACAACAGGAGCATGGGTTCAGTTAAAGAAGCAGGTCCTGTCGAATGGTTTTAAGAATATTTAAGATTGGCAGCTTGATCGCTTTCCCCAGTCCACTCTGACCACAGAAGCGTGTGAATGCCTGAATTAAATTGTTATTGTAGTTTTATTTTAAATAAATAAATCTGTATGTTTGTTCCGGATGATTGCATTTTTATTAAGATAATTAAAAGCCCTGACAATTCATTTTATGTGGACAAGTTCCGGCTTAAAAAGGTTTAAAACCACTTTATTAATTTTGCTCCAGTATTTATCTACATGGTTAAGCCGCTTCTGTCCCTCCGAGGCTTTGCTTTAAGTCAAATTTTGTAACTGTCCTTGATCTCGTAAGAAGTTAATAGGTAATCAAAATAGTCAGTTATTTTGGCATGCAATATGCTCTAAAATCACCATTGGCACCTATACCTTCCACGTACAGAAGACAGTTTCTTCTTTAAATTGGATAACATGCATGCCAATAAATTTTAATTTGAAGAAAAGGACATTCTTGGGGATAGAACGCAGCTTTAATTAGTGAAATTTCGAGTCTGGTACCCCAGCTCGTCTTCGGACTAACAGGAGATGTGCAATTAACAATTAAACTTTCAAACATACGGAGAAAATCAATAATTATACGGGGTGAGACTTGATTGGTAGATGTGGCCTCACTCAGTTTGTGTCCTGCCGCCTTCCTTTCTTCCAGCGTTCTTTGAAGTGTTCATAAGTATCATCTACTTGTATGTGCCGGTTGATGCTTGGTCGTCGGAGTGCACTGCCTCGAGAAATTCGCGGCCATTTTAGAAGGGCATACTCCGACGATGCGTGTTTTATCCCATGCAAAGGTGTATCCTGTGTCGAGGCAATGCATAGCCACCAGATAAATGGTCACTTTTTTTCACGGCCAATTGGTGCTCGTAGACGCGTTTTGAGGCGGATCTTCCGCGCACACCTTCAATTTACATGCGAAATAACCTACTCCCAGCGGCTGCGGGAAACAACTTCAACTACATTTTCCCACTTTGCACTTTCTTCTACAAAGTTTCTTGTGATTCTGTCCAGTGCAGTTAATTACCAACCAGCATCGGCGTATCATCTAGCTTTCCAAATTTTGGCTTCTCACTCCTTTAATTCTATCCATATTTGTGTTTTACGTGAAGTGGCATACGTTTAGTCTCAGAATCACGAAGAATCAGACTGGAAGTGGTCAGCGCGACTCAGTTCTAAATCACCTATATGAACTCTGAACACTGTCGCTCTTATCCAGGTTGACACATAAGTGAGCACTACCTAATATTCTAGGCTGACATTTTCCAAAGAAGCCTAACGCTAATCGACCAATCATAGCTTTCAAGCAGAAAAAGGCCCTTGCTCTGTCAAAGTTGACGTGATAATTACCGCTCGATGACACATAACGTGGCGGATGAATAAAAGTTAAGGCCAATATGTTCATTCTACCACATTTACTATCGAAGATGCTTTGCCTACAAATAAGCTGACATTAGCTTCCACGTAAAAGTAAAGTTTCTTCCTATCTGAAAGACGGAAAGATAGAAATGGGCTTTATTTTGAAAGCAAATGTCCAAAATTTTCAGCAAAAATGATTCCATTCACTGAGACCAACGGAAAAGGTAATATAATACTCAACATCTAGAGGTTTACATAAAATCCACATCTGTTATGAAGACAGGTTTAATTTAAACTGCTAAATTTCCGTTTGTTCTTACGTGGGATAGCGTGCTAGGAATGGAAGTATAGAATGCCGATATGCCGATGTACGGCAAAGCATATGTCGGACATTTCGGCGCACAGTACGGGAAGATATTGCAGCCATTAGTTTAGAGTAAAAAATATGACTGACTTCACCAATAATGCTTTATTAATATATCAACCATAAAATATGGGAAACAAGGACAGCTGAAAAGGACATTCGGCGGTTAAGTTTAAAAATAACCAGCTCTTTTTTAAGCAAGGCTGAAAAAACTGGAGAGCAGGAAAGAATGAGGGAAGAATGCAGACATCTATAAATCGCTAGATTAGGGCTTGCGGATAGGATAAAAGACTTTACGCATTTAAATAAGCGGAACTTCAATATGAAGAGTTAATGGAAGATAAGATGTCCGTCAAACACTAACGTACCGGAAGGAGGATACCTCGTTGGTCAGAATGTCTAAGGTTTTAGGACTGGGAGAGGGCCGCAATATGGCTGACTATACAGTAATGTTCTGGTTTCGCCAAGACACTTATTCGTCTAACTGGTCTCTGCTACTATTACAGGTCAAGCCAGAAATATTCAATCGTGCAGCACTGCTAAATATCGGATTCCGGGAGGCCATCAAAGCAGCCAATTATTCTTGCTTCATTTTCCACGATGTTGATCTCCTACCCGAGGATGACAGGATGATTTACGGGTGCGAGGATCGTCCACTTCATATGTCTGCAACAATTGACAAGTTCAATTACTCGTAAGTCCTTATTTTCCCACTTATTGCCTGCATAATAATCCTACTGATCTTTTATTCTCCTCAGCTATGTCTATTTTGAGGTGAATAGTTGATAGGACTCCTAAAGAACTTGCATCGTAGTCAGGTTAAGAACAATAAGTCCTCCCCATGAAGATCGAGACGACAGAATTGGTCGGGCCGCGCAGAGGCAGCCCAAGTGCCAGTTGCCTCAAATTTTTCAATATTTACAACCGGTTTTGCTGCATATTTTTTCGTAACGTGTGATCATATGCCTAAGCTTTGTCCAGCTGCGGCCAACTAATGAGGAACAAATATCGATCATCGGTGACAAAGC